TATCTCTTCAATGTTGTACTTGAATTTATTAGCTAGAGCAATAAGACAAAAGGAGATCAAGGGGATACACATTGGAAAGGAAGAAGTCAAACTTTCCCTATTTGTAGATTTGCAATCTTTATAATAGCCTTTATCCTTTACAATAGCCCCAAATAACATAAAATATTTGGGGATGATGCTAACCAAACAAGTGAAAGACCTGTACAGCAAGATCTTTGAGTCTTTAAAGAAATAAATTAAAGAAGATACCAGAAAATGGAAAGATCTCCCATGCTCTTGGATTGGTAGGATTAATATTGTAAAAATGGCAATCTTGCCAAAAGCAATCTACAGATTCAACACAATCCCCATCAAAATGCCAGCACAATTTTTCACAGGCCTTGAAAGAACAATACTCAACTTTATGTGGAAAAACAAAAGACCCAGAATAGCCAAAACAGCCCTGTACAATAAAGGAACTTCCAGAGGCATCACCATCCCTGACTCCAAGCTCTGTTATAGAGTTATAGTCCTGAAAACAGCTTGGTATTGGCACAAAAATAGACAGGTAGACCAATGGAATATAATTGAAGACTTTGATATTAACTCACATACCTACTGATTTTTTGACAAAGAAGCTAAAATTATATAATGGAAAAAAGAAAGCATCTTCAACAAATTGTGCTGGCATAACTGGATGCTGGCATGTAGAAGAATGCAGATAAATCCATGTCTATCATCATGCACAAAATCTAAGTCCAAATGGATCAAAGACCTCACCACAAATCTAGCCACACTAGACCCCTTAGAAGAGAAAGTGGGATGTATCCTTGAATGAATTGGTATAGGAGACTGCTTCCTGAACATAAAACCAGTAGCACAGACACTGAGATTGACTATTAACAAATGGGACCTCCTGAAACTGAGAAGCTTCTCTAAGGCAAAGGAAACAGTCAACAAGACAAAAAGGAGCCCACAGAATGGGAAATGTTATTCACTAATCCCACATCTGACAGAGGGCTGATCTCCAAAATTCACAAAGAACTCAAGAAGCGAGTCTCTAAAACACCAAAGGATCCAATTAAAAAGTGGGCTATAGAACTACATAGAGCATTCTCAATAGAGGAGTAAAAAATGGCTGAGAGGCACTTAAGAAAGTGCTCAACATCTCTAGCCATTAGGGAAATGCAAATCAAAACAACTCTGAGATACCATCTCACTCCTGTCAGAATGGCTAAAATAAAAAACACCAAAGACAATTTATGCTGGAGAGGATGTAGAGAGAGGGAAACACTCCTCCATTGCTGGTGGGAATGCCAACTCGTACAACCACTTTGGAAATCAGTATGGAGATTCCTCAGGAAATTGAGAATTAGTCTACCACAAGATTCAGCAATTCCACTCTTAGGCATATACCCAAAAGATGCACATTTATACAACAAGGACATGTGTTCCATTATGTTCATAGCAGCATTATTTTTGATAGCCATAACCTGGAAGCAGCCTAGATGCCCCTCAATTGAAGAGTGGATAGGGAAAATGTGGTACATTTACATACTGGAGTATTACTCAGTGGAAAAAGCAATGGAATCTTGAAATTTGTAGGCAAATTGAATGAGGTAACCTAGTCACACAAAGACAAACTTGGTATGTACCCACTCATATATGAATTTTAGACACGAAGCAGGGGAGTGCCAGCCTACAATCCCACTGACAGAGAGTCTTGGAAACAGGAAGGACCCTAAAAGAGATATGTATGGTACCCCGGAGAAGAGGAATGGGACAGGATCTCCTGAGTGGTCTGGGAGCATGTGGGGAGGGGAGAGGGAGCTGGGGAAAAGTGAGGGGGAGAAGAGCTGGGGAGAGGAGAACATGGGTGAACAGGAAGGTTGAGTTGGGGCAAGAATACAGGAGAGCAGAATGAGAGATACCATAATAGAGGGGGTCATTATTGGTTTGAGGAGAGATCTGGCACTAGAGCGATTTCCAGAGATCTACAAGGATGACACCAACTGGCAATCTAAGCAATAGTGGAGAGCCTCCCTTAAATGCCCTTCCCTGATAATGAGATTGCTGACTACCTTGTATTACATCCTAGAGCTTTTATCCAGTGACTGATGGAAGCAGAGGCAGACACCCACAGCTAAACACTGAACTGAACTCCTGGAAACCAGTTGCAGAGAGGGAGGAGTGATGAGCAAAAGGGTCAAGACAGGGATGGTAAAACCCACAGAAACAGCTGACCTGGACAAGGGGGGAGCTCATGGACCCCAGACTGATGCCTGAGAGGCCAGCATGGAACTGATCCAGACCTCTTGAATGTGGGTGTCAGTGAGGAGGCCTCATCAATTTTTTGGGTCCTCAGGTGCTAGATCAGTATTTATCCCTGGCATACAAATGGACTTTGGGAGCCAATTCCTCATGGAGGGATGCTGTCTCAGCCTGGACACATAAGAGAGGGCTTAGTTCCTGTTTGGAGATCCCCCATGAAGGGCCTCATCCTCCCTGGAGTGTGGAGTGGTGATTGGGTGGGGGATTGGGAGGTTTGGTGGGGAGGTAGGGTAGGAGGGGAGGGAGAGGGGGCTGTGATTAACATGGGAAGCAAGCTTGTTTCTAATTTAAATTAAAGAGATAAATAAATTAAAAAAAGAGAAAAGAAAAAAGGAAACAAAACAAAAAACCAAAACAAACAAAAAGAGGCTAAGTTAGTTTCCTGAATAAGAGCTGATGGTGTTTGGCAGAGAGGATGCTCTTGGTGGTCCTCCCTGATTCCTTTCCTTTAGTTCGCTAATCTATCTATTATTTAAATTTAACAACATAAGTAGATACCTGTTAATCTAAGCTATTACTTCTCCCCCTTGAGAACCATATTCAGTAATGGACTGATAAGAATTCCCTTGCTCAGGGGTAAGGCTGAACCTATAGAATGAGGTTCTTCACTACCTCCTGTGGGACCAGCCTGCGGCTGACTGTTAGCTGAAACAAGCTTCCTGCTTAATCAGCACCTGTCTCCTATCCTTCTCTGCATCTCTCCCCCTCTTCCCCTCCATCAATTCCTTGAACAAGAATCTTTATGTCAGTCTCTGTTTTTTAGGGAACATGGCCTAAGACATGGTTTAGAACAGGAGAGTCTGAAGCAGAGAAAAGAGACTGGATTAGGAATGTTCTGGAGACATAGGCTGTAGAAATGGGTCTTGTAGGTGGGAAAAACACAGATACTAGATTAATTCGTAAATTTTGTTATTGAGAAACTTGGTGGGGAGAGGCTAGGCCTTCTAATAGAAAGTATCTGGAAGAGCATGTTTGCAAAGTAGAGGAAGAAAGGGAGTTAATCTGATGTGCTAAATCTGAGAAGTCCATAAACGGATATGCCAGACAGGCAAATGAATGTCACAGTCTTTTACTCCAAAGGACTTAGCCTGAAGTTACAGAAAGTGACTCAACAGTTTCATTCATGCTACACTTGAGGGCACAAAGCTGAAAGGCATACCTGGGGTGCGAGAGTAAACAGCTTCCCACGATGGACTCCTAGCATGACAACACCCAGAGGATGAGCAGAGATGGAAAGTAAAGCAAATGAACCAAGGGATGGCCTTTTAGTGGTGAGGGGACTATGGAGGACTGTGTCAAGAGCCAGGAATATAAAGGACTTTAAGGGTTATGGGGCTCTGAGTAAAAGTTTCTGATTAAAATGAAGATCATTGGTATTGTTGTTTGTTGCAGCTCAACAAAACCCACATGGAGTTTACTGGGGAAAGGGAGCAATGGAAAGGGTAGGTGTTGTCCAAGTGGGAACAGAGGTGGCAGAGAGAAGGGGAAAGAAAGTGGGTAAACAGGTGTGAGGTGCTCATTTATAAGGGAAAGCTTGCACATGTATACAGAGTCATTATGCAGCCATGCAACACCTGATGTAGCCATGCAATACAGGGCCTTTTGATCTGTCTAAGGATCTGTCTGTATGCCAGTTGTCAGGGGGCGTGGTCAGTATGATGCCAGGATATCAACAATGGGTTATGACAACAGGGTGATTAGTAACTCTAATAACAAAAGACTTTGATGAAACACAATTTTGAGATGGTAGGTATATGTATACCCAAATTCACGAAGCTTAAACCTTAAGTGTGGGCTAACTTTTAACATACCAATAGAATGCAAAAATATTTCATTAAAAAAAGCCAGAAAATAAGGTGAGAATGGGGAATTAAGAAGCAAATATGGTGAGCTGAGCATCTGTTTCTGTGGGGAGCTAGAGTTCCAGATGAACTAGAAACGTAGGTGTGACAGTTAATCCGATGACTATTTTCCTTGAGTTGACGTGTTAGCACGAAGAAATCCATTATCCAAGAAAGAGAGAAGAATCACGGTAGAAAATATTAGAATGGACAAGAGATGATGGAAGCTGTTGACCTTGAGCAGGGGTTGGCTTTTCCCCCCAAGCACTTAATACTTGCATCAGGAAGAATGACAGAAGCTATGAGTGTCAGTGTGGAAAGATTTATAGATGTTACAGTCAGTAGTTGGATTAATTATTAATTTTTCTTCTGTGTTCTTGTTGAAACTAAAGTGAGTATCCCAGTTATCAGGTGGTGGTAGAGTGCATGATTTACAGATTTTACAGGGCTTTTTATCTAATCTAAGCATCTGTGTCTTGACTTGGAATCCAGATGAAGCCAGTTGACCACCATATTCCAATGAGCTCAATTTTCCTATGTGGTTAAAATATGGGACTATTAATCATGGCTATAAAATACGGCAACAATCCTTCATTTCACAATAGATGTGCAACTGTGAATGGATGCCTAGCTCATGTAATTTCTGCTGGCTTTCATAGAGTTGGTTGTTGGTTATGTCTGATAATGTCTACTCCTCTGAGGTCTCCTCTTGACCCTAATTAGACTTATGAATTATTGGGCAATACCCACTCTCTCGTGTGCGCCACTTCCAGACCCACAAATCCTCATTCCAGTGAGCAGGACTATGGTTGATGCTGAGGTCTTGAACATCTGATTGTTTCTGAACAGGGAATTACGGCGAGAGTGGAATGGACGCTTTCAAAGAGCTGGCTGCCCAGGAGGGCCTCTGCATCGCACACTCAGACAAAATCTACAGCAATGCAGGCGAGAAGAGCTTTGACAGGCTCCTGCGTAAGCTCCGGGAGAGGCTTCCCAAGGCCAGAGTTGTGGTCTGCTTCTGCGAGGGCATGACTGTGCGGGGACTCCTGAGTGCCATGCGACGCCTGGGTGTTGTGGGCGAGTTCTCACTCATTGGAAGGTAAATCTCAGTCTGTCTGTCTGTCTGTCTGTCTGTCTGTCTGTCTGTCTGTCTGTCTCTCCAAAAGTGGACACATACATGAATTCTTAATACAAAACCAAGCCTCTTGACTCAAGGTGAGGGGCACATGCAGCACAGAGCTGAGCACTTGCGTCCCCTCTCAGGCAGAGCAGACCTGCTGGACAGAGAGAGGCGCACTGAGCAGCACTGGCTGATAACTAACTGATGAGATTCTTTTAGAGACAGGACGTTGTTTGCCAGAATGTCTCCTCGTCCTGGCAATTAGTCCTTTGATTTGACTTCCTCCAGATTCCAAGCAAACGGTACCCAGCACAGTACTGGTGAGTGGAAGGTGGCAGCAGGAACAGAACATGACATTGAGAGTGGAAATTTAAAGAACTGGCTAAATGAACATGAAGACACATAGTAGGACTTCATGGTGATATAATCCCTTATCATACTGTGTGTGCGTGCATGTGTGTGTGTGTGTGTGTGTGTGTGTGTGTGTATGTGTGTGTAGAGGATATTTCATGATTATCTAGTGTGAGTTCTGTGGATGTCTTGTGATGGGTTCATTCTCTTTCTCTTTCTGGAGGATATGGACATGTGTGAGTATCCATTCCCAGCATCCTTTATTTTTTTCCCACAGGGTTTTGGACTAACTGATTCCTTGCTTACTTAGTTATCATTTTTATATTTCACGGACAAACTGCCATTTTTCCTACTGATTCTACCTCAGCAAAGGTGCACCTGTCCTCAGTACCCCCATACTCATGCAGATTTTGGTGCTCCCTCTTTCTCCTATACTAGGTGGGGTATAATCATGCTGCTCCTACAGAATGACTTTAATTTCTGTCCCCTTCTCTTGGAAGCTGTGTAACAGCACCAGCAGCATTGTCTTGTCCCTGGGGGACTCTCTTTCTTCCTACTACTTGGCTATGGTGATGATTACAAAGTCCACTCTCACCACCATCTGGAATTAGCAGCCCAAGGCACTTCATTGGCTTTTGAGACTCAGGTAGTATAAAAACACAAACCAACAAGTGAAGAGACATTGAGACACTCTCCAGGAATGGGGAGGCATGGTGGACAGGTCACACTGTGAGTCAAATCTTGGGAATTACTGAGTTTGGGAACGATTGGCACACATGCACTCACGGTCATCACCTTGACTTCTTCAGCATGATGTAGGAGTGTGAAACCACTGAGAATCTTCATAAGAAAGCAGGCTCTTTAAGGGGATGCATTTGAAGAAGATTCCTGTCTCTTTCAGGAGGGAAAGGATGAAAGCAGTGTTGTTGAAGTGTTACTCAGAATACTTTTCTTAATATAAGCACTAGGGCAGATGGCATCCACACAGTCACTCTTCAATTACTTCTATAAACTGCCTGCTACTGTTATTTTTTATAAAGAATGTTTACTTTAAAAAGTCTGATGTTTATCATTTTGAAAGCAATGATACCAAAGTCTCTTTAATATCTTGGGGGTGATCTACCTTAATTTAGGAAATCTTGAACAGATGTGAGCTTTGGGATGTGCAGACTAGCTGCCTTATGAAGGATGATGATCAGAAGTGCTGCTCTGACTGCAGTGTAAATTCATTCTGTCACTGTTGTTGAAACACTGGGAAAGGTGATGAAATGGCACCTCAAGCCTCAGTGGCTCTGGTTTGTATGCTAATAAGGAAACTAAGCTTATGTAAGCAATTCTGAGAGTCTCTTGTACGTCTCTCATTTCTCTTATTGTCTGCCTGCCCCTGCCCTACTGGGTCCTGTTGTTACACCCTTAGGAACTACTGTCAAAATGATCACCCACATCACTAAGAACACCGTTTCCTGTACCAGTGGTTACTGCTATTGAGACATGCATTTCATGATGTGCCAAAACTGTAGCACACTCTGCCAAAGTGAGGGAAAGCATCTTTTCCTTTCTAGGCTGCCTTCCATGAGGGTCTATCAAGCTGGTGTTGGCTCTTATTTCTGTCTCTTAGAAAATTTTGAAGAAAAAAATATCTTAAAGCATTTGTTTATAATACTCCTTTAAGATCCAGGTATGCTTCTACAGGGAGCTGAGCAAGCAACAACATTGGTTGCAGTCACATGCATACTTAGGATTAACCTTCCCTTCAGACACCCCCTGTTCTTTCAGTGGATGAGTTCTGTCCTGAGTGCTGCCAGTAGACACCAAGTAAGCTCAGTTCCCTGCTCTGCACGCATGTCCAGAATGGTACCAGGGACTTCTAGTTAGCAATGCTGAAAGATGCACCCTCCTCTCAGGACACAAGGTCAGGGGTCCATTTTCTTCCCTCTGACATGACATAATTCTAGCTGCTGTCAGGTTCACAAGAGAGCATTATATAGGTGGCGATGACCTCTTTTATATAGGGAAAGACAATAAGTCCTAGTGTAGGTTGCCCTAGGAGATATTTTATTATAAGTGAGTGTGATTTCCTGAATGAAGATCTACATGCCCCCCTTCCCATGGCTCTCGTTTCCTTTTAAACTTCCCAGTATATTGGGAACACTTGCTGTCACTACCATGGTATTTCAGGATTTCTGTTACTATTATCTTCCCCTAAGGTGTAGTTTTCCTTCACTCCACCTAGCACAATACTCACCCAATCCTGTCCCACTCTTAGCTAGCTGTTATTGCAACAATCTAAAAAATTTAAGTCAAGTGATGCTAGTCTTTACATCTCATGATACATTCTAGCATCTTCTATAACAAAGCCCACAAAAACCCCAATTTTATCATTGCAGTCAAGTCTTTAAGCAGATGTTCTATAACTTGACAATGGACATAAATCATAGTAAGCTAAGATTAACTGATGGTGTTGGTTCTAGAGAGTGGAGTGAAGTCCATGGTCATCATGGTGGGGAGTATGGCAATGGCAGTATGTGGGTATATATGGCACTGGAGCAGTAGCTGAGAGCTTAACCTGATACACAAGAACTAGGTGGGTAGAGAAAGAAAGACACTGAGAATGGTATAGGCTTTTGAAACCCCAAAGCCAGCCTCTCCTCTACCTTATAGTGGGTCATTTCTGCACCTGAAACCACGCCCAAAGGGTGTGTAGCCACCACCTCAGGTTCACTGGCAAGGCAAGATGCCACTGCAGCAGGCCAAAGGGGTTTGTGGCTGGTTTGATGTTTATGTTTCTCCTTTGGTAGTGAGTAGAGTTCCTTCCTGTACCAAACACCAGAACATGGGGGTGAAGATGCTGTGTAGGCACCAGCTCTACCTTTCCGTGTTCAATGAGTTTTGTAGGTGCTGTCTTCACCAATGGGACTTGGCTGTCAGTTTGTGGAGAGGAGCCTATTGTCTTGGCAACAGCCTGGGTTATTTGAGGGTTCCCATGGGGACCCCTTGGCCAACAACTCAATTAGATGTAATGCGATCCCAGTACTTGATCCTTCCTTTGGTGACAAGATACATTTTCTCTTGAATGTATCAGCCTTTCAGTATAGAAAATAAAAAAGAAAATGAAAAGTAAAGTTATCATACATTTGGGAATTGTCCATAATGGAAAAAATAAACTGTGCATCAAGAAATAGAACTTTAAATGGGATTTCTTAAGTTAATACAACATTCTATAACAAAAGAATATATCTGAGATAATGGAAAAATGGAACAAAACAAACCATGGGCCCAGAGCAATGATGTTAAAGTACTCATGTGACCTTGGTTATTCAGTGGTTTAATGCTGAGATCATTTTTTTTTTCTGCAAGAACAAAAGATTTGGCTCTGTGTCCTCTTTAGGCATTTTTGCAGCAGTCTTAGAATTTATAATAGATTCAGACAGTATGATGAAGTTAATAAGATCAATAAGAATGCATTTACGGATTCATTTTATCTAATCTTAGTCTTGATTTGGGGTTGTTTAGACTACATTGTCTCATCAGTCACCTTGCTAAACCCAGAACTCAGTGAATGAGCTAGGTGTTTTCATCTGTGGTCCTGAATCCAGCCTGCAGGCTTGCAGGAGACTATGACTTCGGCATCTCCACCAAGTAAGCTACTAGGTTTGGCTATAGTCACCATCCTGCAAAATAATAATGTTTTCTTGACTGCATACAATTATTATTTTAAGATTGTTCTTAGGGTTTTGCTCACCATATCTACAGTGATTACTTTCATGATAATAATATAGATGTGTTTGGAATGTACTACATGCCAGGCATTCTATATACACTGTCTGTATCAGTTCACTTAACTATCACAGCCGTGCGATGAAAGGGTATGAATATTACCTGCATGTTGGTTCATGGATAATTTAAGTAATTTCTAAATTATATCAAGAAACAGCCTAGATTTGAACATTAGCATCAAGACATCAGTTCCTGTTATTGTATTCCATAACTTACACAGTTAGTAAGACCGTGCTTGCTTTGTTTAAGTGGCATTGGTATCAGCTTTAATTTGCTTTCCGTTTGTCCCCTCTTCCAGACACCTATGTTATTGTTAGATTCACCTCCTTTGAAGAATATAAGCTGAAGTAACCATATCACATGAGAAAATGATTATACTATTTCTCTAAAGCCTTTACATTTCTTTTCTAGTAGTAAGTATTTTAGATGATGATTCAACAAAGGGCTTGTAAACTCTCTCAAAACTCATTTTGTTTTTCCACCACAATGCTTTTGTATCTGCATACACCTATTTATCTATGGAACCAAACTTATACAGAAGCCATAACCTTTTTTTGAATACCCCTGTTTGTCTATGTAATTGTCCATACATGGAAGCTTATTTGGGACAATTGAGTACCAAGTTTCTGAAATCCCAATGATTAAAATTCAAGGGATAAACTAATGGACTTGTTCTAATTCTTATATTGTTCTTTCATCTGGCAAAAGTAAATGCTAAAGCAATAAATATGCTTATAGCATTAAAAAGCTTAGATGTTGATTCAGAGCATATAACACATTTTTAAATCCCCCCAAAGAAAACAAAAACAAACAAAATACCTTTCAAGTTTTTGCATTAAAGCAGCTACTTC